TCAAGTGACAATTGTTGGTAGGCCTAATGTAGAGTTCCATCGATACGCGTCAGAAGAATGAATGAGAATTTATGCTGACTTCTTGAAATTCCCTGTAAACGGAATGCTAAAGAACTATAAACACGTTGTGGAAACTGCTCATGCCATAGCATATACAACGTATTATGATAATAGCACATATCGCGCGGTCATATTGAGTTTATTGCAGTTCGGCTGGCACGAATAAGGACCAAAGTACTCCTTTCGACTATTTTGTACGAAATTTGTGGCACTGGTTGCCAATTTTAATTTTAAAAAAACTTACCTGTATCCTGCTATGTTCAACGATCTCCGGAATACACACCTGTCTTATGATAAAATGGACTGATTTACTGAAAGTTCGAAGGATATTTAAGAGTAATTAACGCAAAGTGAACTTTGCACTTGACAGGACTGAGCAAGTGAATCGAATGCAAGCCACAGCAGTCATCCTGAGGACCGATCATTTCTCGATTTTGCACACTACTCATCAGTAGCAAAATTTTAATCAAAATAGTGTTGGTAACGGCTCGGCACCTCACGAAACCGAATGCATTTGCAGAGTTGCTCACCTTTTGTTCCGTATACAGGTCATAAATTGGTTTTAGCTTTTGCAGTTCCCCATGCATTTCTTTCAACTCCGGGTATGTGGAGATTGGAAGATCCAACAGGCGTTCACTACTGAGAAGATCCACTCGACGGGCTTCCAAAAGCTCACATTCGGCGACGAAGTTAGCCAAGCTCGCGCAGCCTTTGTCCAGATCCTCTGACTCATTGCCGGGACCGGACGTCCGGTAACTGCAAAGAACACGTTGTAAAAATGACGATAACTAAAGGCCGAACAATCACACATAGAGCAAGCGTCATCCGAACATCCGATTGGCGAAATCGACAAGCGCACGATGCAACATAGACCACAAAACACACTGATTAAGGGAAGCAAGAGAGAATTGATAGTTAAAAAACGCCAGTGATCTCGCAAATATCCCAAACAGTGAGAAGAAACGAAGGATAGTCACTTAAAGTTCAATTCACAAAGAGAGGATTACCCGATTACACCACAAGTCAAAAGTCATCAAAACAAGCAAACAAAACGAACATCTAAAATCTGGTAGGAAACGCTGGCATAAACAAACAAAATCCCACACAAAAAATAAAACTCCATGGTAGAATCTTCCAGCAAAATTGTAGAAACAAACGCTGGTGAACGAGAAAAGAATCCAAAAAAAGAGTCAAATTTTCCTCAAAAAAAAAGCAAAAACATTATATTCCCAACAACATTCTCGCCAAAAAGATGCAACATTCAAAATAAAGACAATTGAGTCGAAATCGTGCAGACCACATCGGGAACACAGCACGGATTAGCCTCTTCATTTTCGCATCCAGAAAAAACGTCTAGATTCTACAGTAGATGCTGCCAATATATTCAAGACGTCCGCAAACAAATCAGAGAAGAACCTCCTCCCAAGTGCGTGTCCCGACAGCTGCTTGAATGGGGAGTCCTGGTGCTCTATCAGAACCGCTTCATTCTAAGTGAGTTCAAATATGTGCATCTCAGAACCCCTATCAACCATATGCCTATTTCTAAGGCAATGCAACCTCAAGCTCCTTAGCCCATTCACATCAGACAGTGCATTCTACACACCATTCGCATCAAAAATCTCTGGAGGTCTAAGAGGTCCTCGGGTACGTTTGGGTGTATAGAGCCACGCAAGCACTATTCTAAACGAGCTCGTAGTGTACGAACAAAACGGGAATGAGAACACATGACCTGCAAATAAAAAAAAACCGGGAATACCAGAGACAATTGGAGTCTAAAAAAAACATCCAAAGGCTTCGCTGAGATCGCTACGATCGTACTGATCATGC